CATTTGGTTTCACTCTACTCTAAATCGATTCGCTCCAACCAGTCACATGTTAGCACTGAACTGTGTGCGCTAATTCATTCGCTACTTGTTTGATTGCCCTGCTTGACCGCATTCTGATGTCATTAAAGCCTCGAGCCCCTTTGACGGGCGGCCTATCTACGTACGTGTTTACACCGGGGAATAAAGTGGCTATATTCGTGATTACTGAAAATAGACGTATTGTCTAATTCACTACTTCATTATTTACGTACTTAGACGGGAAACAACATTGGTCATCTTGGTCCATAGAAAATGACACGGAATTCAAAGAATCGAAATAAATGTTCGTATCCAAAGTGTTTTTTTTAACCTGCTCGGAAATCATTAACTTCCGAAGCCGTTAAATAAAAAGGACCCTGGTGACATCTTTCAAGAGCACCTAAGCTGTTCGAATGAATGCTCCATGGCCTAGTCAGTAGCTATAACGGGTTCCGCTATACTGGAGGGCATTTTTGATAAATGTAAGTCAATGCTACTCTCATATTTACTTTCACTCTGGATCAGACCCCACGTTTTGTACGGTATTCAAGCCTGGAATTCGTAGCAGCAACGTTATCATGAGGCTTCGGAACATTTTACTTACTTAGATGGTAAGTGTTTGGATTAGCCCATTCGGTTTCTCACAGGCACCAGGCACTGTTGATGATATTCGGTATGGGTTTCACATCTTGGGAAATCGCTAATTCCCCACTATTTACTTACTACTCACTACTTACTTACTTTACTGCGGCTGTCTCCTTGGAAAGGATAAGCCGGCTCCAAACACGATCATGATCATGAAGTTACTTGGGAGTTTGATACGCGAGACGTCCCCAGAGTCACTTGGCGTTCTTTTTATTTTGAGGGTTCACCTATAGCCTTTGCACAACCAAGTGCGAACTGCAAGGCAGCAAGAAGTAATCCCTCGCTTGAAAAGTGAGGGGGTGAGATTTAAAAGGCCAGTCACATCGACCTTTATCACGACACTGTCATTGAGCTTATGCGGCTTTTAAACAGGAGCCAGGTGACTAACCTGAAATCCACCAATTCCTGGCAGTGCCTCCGCTGTTTTGTTCGCGACTGCTTATTTGTTGCGGTATGCCACAACTTATTCACAGCCAATCTTCGATGAAGGTATCCCTCTATCCGCGACCAGGGGACGCGCCTGGTAGCATTCAACTCTGCTTAACTCGAGGGTATCTAGGACTATCCATGATGAGTGATCAACAAGATGGTCAAGGGAAAGAACATTTCAAGACCTGTGTGGAAAGACTGTAACCATTGAGATTGTACTCCACTCAGTCCAGACGAATTCGAGGAGATTTCATGTTGGTTTACCAAATACTGTAGAACCTTGACTATCCATGATGGCTCGAGAGATATCACCACTTACGTTTATGCTCTAAAAATGTTGAGTGAAGTCTGTGTGGTTCCTTTACCCTTAGAGTGTGTAGTGTTTGGAATTTTCTACTAGTGCATATTGCTCGTACGCCCATAACTGATTTTTTCCTGCTGAACATGGGTGAGATAATGATATTTCTAACATTCCAACACCCATAACGTACACAAAACAGAAAAACAATACAGTAGTTCTCATACAGAATACCCTAATTATTGAGTAATCCTTTTTTGCTCAAATTCTAATGGGAATATATATATATATATATATATAAAGTTGCATCTTGTAAGCCTTTCCCAAAAAAACGCTGACTGTAGCTTTCCACGTTATTCTCTCAATAGAGCGTGGTTGATCTAGTTAGAACTTACTGGGTATGAGAAAGGTTTGCAATTATCTTTCGAAAAGCTTTTCATTACTGAGTGAGTGAGTGCTCCGATGCTTGTCGGTAGACAGTTTCGGTCCAGACTGCAGCAGTTATGAACGGGTCGACTGATGGAATGAATTTTGTTCCCGGTACATTCTTTCTCGTTTGTCAAGAAACTGTAGTGTTCTTATAGATCCGAGCAATGCCTTAAATTTGTCAGAGATCACTTTTTATCATACAATCAAGCTGTATGTTCATATCGTTATCTCAGCACCAAGGCTCTATGATATTCGTTTTATGCAGGTGATATATACTGTACCCTTTCGCGGTTTCAATCCGCTTGTACATTATTGCGCACGTTGGCCCTTGTCACTTCGTGCGTTAGATTTACATGAGGGTATACATGTACACCCTGTGTGCCAAGTTACTTCAATACACGGCTGTCGCAACCACCATTCTTTTGGTTCCACTGCAAGTAATTTGGTTGCCCACGTGCTGCGTGGGATTTAGGGGTTTGTCACGATTGGCTGTAGTCGACGCACTTCAAAACATGCAAGATGATGTACGCCGGGTCAAATCAACGTCGAACGCTACATCCCTATTTACATAGTTCTTCAGAATTCCACGACGAAAGCATTCAAATCAAACGTTCAAAAACCAGCTAGAAAGCGGCAAATGTTTTTCAAAACCCCAAGGTTGCTGAACTACAGTCTTGGACAGGTTTGACCGAATAATCTAGTTGTCCAGCTGACTGTTTGACCGTTCACAGCGACTGTAAACAAGATGAAAATGTCCCGTCTCCCTCAGGTAACAAGACTTGTTCGTAAATTCCAGGCAACGTATCAGATACGGTTGGTGCCATTACCAGCTCACACGTTCGCACGATTGAGTACAGGAGAAGTTTGTCCTGTTAGAAGTGAAAGACTGGTGAAGTGCTATCCAGCTTGGATAGATTGGAAAGCGCTTCGATCAAAGGGTGGAATACGGCTTCGATGACGTCCATAACTTGGTTGTAAAAAAAGTATGACAGAATCAGTGGAGTAAGTACCGCACCAAGGTGTGGGGAAATTCCAGTTAGAGATGCATTACTTATCTTGCTCATAATATCGTGGTCATTTACTTGATGAGTTGTCTTATTCACTTCTATTTTATATCAAATAAGTCTTTAAACTTGGCTGGTATAAAACGACCGGATATTAACGATCAATATGTTACAGGTGCAGGAGGTATTTTTATTTACTATGTTGTGCGCAGTGTTAGGTTTTTGTGCATTCAGTCTGTTTTGAGAAGGAGATAAAACAGAAAGCGAATGAATATGGCGAACAGACCGAAAATGGTTTAACTATACGTGAATCCGCCCGATTATTGCGTGCATCATTCCATTCTTTCTTCTGCTCTTTAATCCGAATGGGCAGCCAAAAGACAGTATTTTTATTGGTTGTAAAAACTGAAACTGTATTTTCTATACCGGGGAAAATTACCGTGAAACAATATAACCAATGTCTAGGGATGAAAGCCATCACCAGTTCGAGAATTATAAACACAGAGTACATCAACCTTTAAAGATGTGGCTCCAAATGAACCATTTGTCAATTTCTGTGTAAATCTATAGTGACCACTACCGTTTTCTTTAACCTGTGTCTGAAAATGATAAAGTAAGTAGTTAATGGAAGAAAAAACAATGCCTCCCCAATCACTGACCGAATAAATCGGTCGATGTGGACTTACGTAAAATCCTATAGTAGTCTGCTCCTTCCACTGCTCGCGTGCTGTTGCTGATAGACGTGAACACTGACTCCTAGACAATGATAATTAACTATGTAAAGTCGTCCAATACCCTCGACGTGACAAAGTAGATCACAGACATCAAAACAGATGTACATCCGCAGTCATACTACGGTACAAAATCCCGTTTCAAAGCAGGCGACCGGGTATTACGATGATTCAAAATGATTCGGGTTTAATGAGCGTTGGCTTAGGTTCCATTTTAGCTAATGTTATTCCATCTTTCACATCAATACTGACTAAATGCTGCGCTAATGTGGAATATGAAATTCTCACCGACTTCAATCTACGACCGACCATATGCGAATTCTGTTCTCCTAATCTGTATCTGGTGTTTTGACCAAACAGTTCAATTTCACCCAACCGGAATCTGTGAAAAGATCCTAAATTTTTTTCAGCCTTTACCGAGAACCAGTAGATTGTAAAACACTGTCAAGTTCTATTGCAAATTTTCCATTTGGAAGATATAAACAAAATCCCCAGGAGTGATACTCAGATATGAAGGAACAATCAACATATCCAGCAGTCTGTAAATTTGCATAACCTAATCAAGAAATACGCCCAATGTTTTCACCAGATCAATCATACATCTCAGGGATAAGAGTTCCGGTTTCCGACCAAAAGAAGGTTGACATTTCAAACTAGAACATTCTTAGGCAACTTATGCCCCTTCGGGAGAGTTGCAATACGGAAGAAACAACCAGCCAATGCTCTTTGTCATAGTTACCGGACGAAAACTCATCAAGAATAACACTGCACCACTGGAGTGAGAAAGAAGTAGAATTTGACAACCAGGAATTCATGAAGAAATTTTCCATATCGAAGTTTCAGTTCTCACACTGTCAAGTCAGTTTTGTGTATATTGGAAGATCAGATACCTGAAGAAGATCTCAACCCGTAAATGGACCAAATTGTGCAGTGTGTGTTGAAGTACAGGATCATCTAGAACAGCTAATGGTGCATACCGGTAACCCATTTGGTGTACAATTACATTAGCATTTCCATGGACTTTTGCGTAGTCAGATGTCTGCATTCCCGTCGAAAATTACACATCGCCTCATTGAAAGAAGTAAATAATTTGAGTAAAACAATTAACCTGCAAGG